CCACAACACAATTATAGACCCATAAGATTGGTCACTGTTCAATTCTTAGTAAATAAGCTTTAAAAATAATCATATCTTAAAAAAATATAAAGAACTACCTGAAATTCTGTTCCTAAAAACACTCTACCATTTACAAATGCTCAAACACCAGTGAATTTTGTGCCTAATGACCTAATTTGCACATTCTAACTTTGTTAGAAGGAAAGATTTAGAAGCCTTTTTTGAAAGTTAAGCAAATAAAAAATTTGACTTTATAGAACCCAAGGTATTTGTTATCAGTTTTATTATCAATTTTAAAAATACTGTCTTTGCAAGAGTAATATAATAGAGATAATCGTAGGTTAGGAAAAAAAAACTAGTTAAAATAGATTTCAAATATTAACATGTATAGTAGCCTCTACCCTGCAATATCTGTCTAGGTTATAAAACTCTGAGATTATGCAAATTCAGTCTTATGCAAATTTTCCCATAAAACACATCTACAAATTCTGAGTTATAGAATACAGTCCTATAAAAAAAATTATTAAGATGAGCAAAAGAGACAGACAGAGCTGATGTCCTCAGGTTGTGCTTGGTGAGATGAGCTGAAATGAAAACAATGAATACCAAATCTGTAATCCCTCGCCCCATAAAAGGTAGTGAAACAGTGACTCTGTATTTCTAGCAGGAAGGGTTTGCATCTTACCCTGAGACTTTGTCCCCTAAGGTTTTAGAGAAAATAATGATTGGGATGGCATCCCGTGTTAGAGAAGAAGGTGAATGTCCTCTCAGTCCAGGTAATCAAGAATATTGTGAGGGTGAGGCTGAAGTTTGTATGAGGGATTTCCACTGATGCAAAATGATAGATGATGGCAAATTATAATAGGGCTCTTCTCTCCTGCCTCTCTCTGTCTTTTCTTCCTTTCTTTCTTCTTTTTTTTCCTTCCTCTCTCCCTCCCTCCCTTCCTCCTTTCCTTCCTTTTTGCCTACATTCCTCCCTGCCTGCCTGCCTCTAGCAAATATTTATAAATATATAGATGTGTCAGGCACTGTTCTGGGGAGTGGGGCTGTAAAAGTGAGAAACACAGATAAAGTCTCTGTCTTGCATTCTAGTTGGAAAGACAAACAATAAAGAGATAAACATGTGATAAAAAAGAAAAATAAAACAGGGCAAGGGGATAGTGGCTGGTGGTGATGGGGGTGGGGCATAGGGAGTGTTTGAAATGGCACACTCAGGGAAGACATTGCAGAGGTATTATGTGTATTATACATAAGCAGAGACCTAAAAGAAGTAAGGAACTAAACCATGTAAAATTATGGGGAATGAAGTTTCCATGGAGAGGGGCTGGCAGGCACAATTCCCTAAAGTCCCAGGTTGCCTGATTTCTGGACTCTGGCAAGAAATTTGTATTCCATTCAGAGTCTAGTGAGAAACTGTAGGACAGCTAGAAAAGACTGGCTTCTGAATAAGTGAGAGACAGTGTAACTAGGGTGATCAGTTAAGCAACTATTGCAGAGTTCTAAGCAAGAGATGGACACCCTGGTGGCGTAGTGGTTAAGAGCTATGGCTGCTAACCAAAAGGTCAGCAGTTCAAATCCACCTGGCTCTCCTTGGAAACTCTATGGGACAGTCCTACTCTGTCCTGTAGGGTCACTATGAGTCGGAATCGACTCGACGGCAGTAGGTATGGTTATGTTTTTGTTTAAGCAAGAGATGATGTTGGCTTAGACCAGGGTGCCAGCAGTGGAGAACATGAGAAATATTTAGATTCAGGATCTATTCTGAAGGTAAGACCTGAAGAATTTGCTTATGAATTGACAGTATGATGCTAAGGAAGGGGTCAAGTCTATTCTTATAACAATTAGAATTTTTCCATGCCTTTTTACTGCACAAAATAATTTAAATAAGACATCTGTGTTATTATGTGGATGTGATTCTGATACTATGAAACATATTTTCATATATCTGGGTTCACTGAATTTCTATATTTTAAAGGATTAAGTGATGATTTCCCAACCGTATCTTTTTAAACACTGTTTCTCACCCCTCATCTAAAATTTCTGATTTCATATGTAGATAGATTAATACAGGAAAGGCAGCAACAATGGGAGGTAGGTTCTAGTAGCTTGTAGGTTTACAGGAATGCATATGCTATATACACAATGACATTGCAAAGCCACAGATATATATCAAAATGCCAGCAAACCTAACTAGTTTTTTTTAAGTTTGTAAAGTTTAATCAAATTGTAAAAGCAGTCTTGTATCACAAACTATAGAAATACTTCTACTCTGAATTGAAACTACTGGCATTCTCTATGGCATATATTCTTACATAGTAATTCTCATTTTTGTCCATCTGAGGCCTGCCTTTCTCTGGGAAGAGAAATCTCCTGGACAGTCTGAGTAAGAGAGACAGCAGTTGGTCATCTACTAAAACATTATTCTCAATGTTTCCAAAGCACTTTTCCCACACTGCTTGGTATTGCTAGTTATACAGGCAAAGAATTTTATCTTTCACCTTTTAATGTATAAATATAATACTCATGAAATCTGAAAGAAGGTAAAGTACCTAGTAATGTACAAAGTATGAAGTTAAAATGTAATTGTGTAACGAATGAGATTTCCACTTAGGTAGTGATAGAGATAGTCTTCCCACTATACTGGTAAAACATTAAACCTGGGTAGAATGGCAGTATGTTCCACTGCTATTCATAAGGTATTCACTAGCCAACTTTTTTAGAAGTAGATCACCAGGTCCTTCTTCCTAGTCTGTCTTAGTATGGAAACTCCGCTGAAACCTGTCCACCATGGGCGACCCTGCTGGTATTTGAAATACCAGTGGCATAGCTTCCAGCATCACAGCAACACACAAGCCCCCACAGTATGACAAACTGACAGATGAGTGGTGGTAACGTAGAGGGTCAGCAAAAAAGAGGAAGACCCTCAGACAGATGGGTTGACACAGTGGCTACAACAATAGGCTCAAACATAGTAAGGACGGTGAGGATGGTGCAGGATTGGGCAGTGTTTTGTTCTGTTGTACACAGGGTTGCTATAAGTTGGAACCAACTCAAGGGCACCTAACAACAACAACAACAGAATGACAATAAGTAGTCCTGATGGCATGTGGTTAAAGCTATTGGCTGCTAACCGAAAGGTTGGTGGTTCAAACCCACCAAGCAGCTTCATGGGAGAAAAAAACCTAGCTATATGCTGCTGTAAAGATTACAGCCTAGCAAACCCTATGGTGTAGTTTTACTCTATCCTAGAGGGTTGCTATGAGTTGGCATCAACTTGACGGCATGCAACAACAAAATGACAAGAGACACCAAGAAACTAACATAGACACATGAATCCACCTGTCCGTTGGACGTAGAGTAGATTAAGGATCTAGAAGTCAGAAGATGGAGTAAAAGAAGGTAAACCAGTTTACTGTACATTACTGAGGTTGAGGTTGCTATAGAAATGATCAGGAGTAATCCAAGGTCTGTCACCTTTGGACCTCATTTTCCTCAAGTCCTAATCCCCTTTTAAATTTCTCTGTTTTATATTGCCACAATTTCTACTATGCCTTAAAATCTTTACATGCTTATTTATCTGTCTTCCAATGTTAGTCTCTTCTGAAATTCTAGAAGCCTTACTTTTTCTTCACAACCATACTTCATGTGTACTTCAATGTCTACAGTTCATTTCTTCCACTGTCTTTTCTTTCATTGTCATTGCCTCTTTGAATATTTTTACCTCCTTCACTCTTATCTTTGGACACAATTTTCTGTGTATATCTACATGTTGACATGGTTTTTCTATCCTTCAATTCAAGAGTTCAGATTTTTTTAAGACTCAACTGGTTTCAGATCAATCTCTGACCCCCTGTAGCCAACTGAGTAATAAGGTAAGATGGTAAGGTAAAATGTCTTCGGTTATATTCGTTGTGTTGGATTTTACTCGCCTGATAGTATTCTACCGTGATTTTTCATTGCTATTATTATTTTATCAACAAAAATAGTTACCTATTTATGATTAATACTTACATAATTATATTTTTAGATTTAATTTCAAAGTGATTTCTTTCAAGATCCATACACACTTTCATAGGATATAATCCACCATATCTTCCAGGGACTTCAACTTCAGGTATTTGCCAACACAACTCAGAGTAGTTTCCTATGTATCTTTATATTGCACTAGTTTATATTTCAACACACATGTTTTATTCACTTAGCAAATTATTCTAAGGAACTACTATATACCAAAAAAACTGTTACACATATAGGAATTGGGAATTGAAAACTACTAATATATGTGATGTGATCACTTTTCCATTTTCTATTGTTGAGTTTTTTTCACTTAATCAAAAGTAAACCAAACATATCTCATCAAATGTCTGTTTACCATCAATGAACAACTGAAGTGCTTAATCATAAGAGAAAATTCAAAAACCAAAATACTCTAACATACTTAAACACCATGAATATACTTAAACACCATGACTAAGGAATAATAAAGCCAATTTGGCCCAAAATATGAAATATAAACTTACTATATTACGGCCATTGAGCCTGATAAATAATCTTCAATAAAAAGTAAAATTAAGCTTCATACATTATATCATTGCACGATATTCATAATCTTTATCCAACAATCAAAATTACACATAACTAATGAATATAGAAGAAACATTAATTTTTTTTTCTGTTTGAGTATTAAATCTAATAAAATCATCATTTGGCCTGTAAAAAACACAACACAGACACAAACAAAACAAAACAAAAGCTTGCATGGATCATATTGTTCAATGAGATCACCTTTTCTTTCAATGATGCAATAATTAAACTTTTTCGTTCCAGGGTAAACGTAAACTTGGATACTACACAGAAAAGTATATCACAGATAAATATTTATTTGAGCTCTCAATAATCTTTGATATTGATATTAGGTTTAAACATTTCTGCCAGTTTTCTATTCCTAAGTAAAACATCTTAGAAGAAATTACAATCTCTAGGAACAGAAGAAAGCTCACCTTATTACAAAATTGTGACTGTCAATCTCCTTTCCACATTCACTATCTAGTAGAATGCCAGAATTTCCAACAACTGCACAGGTCTTAAACCTGCGATTTTTCATTGGCGAAACTTCAGGTAGGAGGCTATGCAGATCATGAGAAATATTTAGTGTCCGACGCCTGTCGAGCACATAGTGTATGACATCACCAGGCTTAAAACTGCTCTTGACCACTGAGACATCTCTTTCTGCATCTAGGAAACGAAGTATATTCTTCCTGTATTTGAAATACAAGCAAAGTTTTCCATTAATGACAATACATCCAAGAACTGATGATGTCATTTACAAAGTAAGATATGATGAAACATAAATTGGTAAACTACAAATCTGAAATTGTAATTTAAGTAAGTGATAATTAAAACAAAAACCAACCAATTAGTAGATTTTGTAGGAAATAAAATATATTTTTAAGAGTCATTTACACAGTGTTTGCTGATGATTTTGTAAGCATGCGTGGTATTACATACCTGTTGCTGTCAAGTCAACTCTGACTCATAGGGACCTTATAGGACAGAGTAGAACTGCCCCACCAAGGAGCAGTTGGTAGGTTCTAACTGCTAACATTTTGGTTAGCAGCCAAAATCTTAACCATTGCATCACCAGAGCTCCATATATAGCACAGACACCTATTTTCATCTATCAAATATAGAGAAAAATTAATTTAGTTAATAAAATAAGTTGCTATGACTTGACTTTATATAACTAGACATTCTGCTAGCTTCAACCAATTTGCTAGTCACCTACTTATTTTAATGTAGTCTAGTTAAGAAACCTAAAAATAACTTTAAATTGTTTTGAATTATACTATAGTGAACTCTACTAGAAGGATTAAAATTTCTAATAAATTTATATAAAGTGATCTAAATCATATGTATATATTATGTGAAGAAGAATAAAAGCTATAGCACACTGAATGTATATGAGTGTGTTCTTTCAAGCTTAATAGCCCAATAAGTAAGAAGTACATTTGAGGAAAAGAAGGACAGATAGAACATTGGACAATGCATGGTAGACACAGCTAGCTGTTCCTTGGTTCCTTTCTTCCCTTTGTTTTTGTATTTGAATCCTCTTAGTTTTACCTGGGCATTTGGATTGTCAGCTAGAACATTTCTAAGTTTCTTTTGTAGCTCGGTTTAGTCATATGAGTTACTTGTCTTAAATGGAACATAAATGGATCATGTTCATGACTCTGTGAAAGAGAAATAAACTTCCAATTTTTTCAAGACACTTTTTTAAAATAATATTTTATTGTGTTTTTGGTGAAAGTTTACATAGCAAGTTAGGTTTCCACTTGATGATTTCCACATAAATTGTTCAGTGACATTAGTTACATTTATTACAATGTGTCAACATTCTCTTTAATTGTGTCCAGCTTGTTCCCTTTCCAGAACTCTAGTTTCCCCTGCAGCCTTATCTCCTTATCTTTGCTTCTGAGTAATTGTTGACCTTTTGGTCCCATACTGATGGTTTTTAAGTAGGACACGGATCTGACAGTTTGCTGTTGTTATTGTTAGGTGCCGTCTAGTCGGTTCCAACTCATAGTGACCCTATGAACAACAGAACAAAACACTGCCCATTTCTGTGCCATCCTCACAATCGTTGCTCTGCTTGAGCCCATCGTTGAAGTCACCGTGTCAATCCATCTCATTGAGGGTCTTTCTCTCTTTCAATGACTCGCTACTTTACCAAGCATGATGTTCTTCTCCAGGGACTGATTCCTCCTGATAACATGTCCATAGCATGTGAGACAAGGTCTCATTATCCTCGCTTCTAAGGAGCATTTTGGCTGTACTTCTTCCAAGACAGATCTTTTCATTCTTCTGGCAGTCCATGGTATATTCAGTATTTTTCACCAACACTATAATTCAAAGGCGTCAATGCTTATTCAGTCTTCATTATTCGTTGTCCAGCTTTCGCATGCATAAGAGACGATTAAAAATACCATGGCTTGGCTCAGGCACACCTTAGTCCTCAAAGTGACGTCTTTACTTTTTAACACTTTAAAGAGGTATTTTGCAGCAGATTTACCCAATACTTCGTGATACGGGTAATATCCTTTATTTTATGTACAACTCTACTATTTCGCTAAGAGGTGATCTCAGGAGACAAGATCGGTTCTAGGTTTAAAGAGTGTCTCAGGGTGATAGTCTCAGGGAGTCCTCTGTTCTCTACTGTTCCAGTTTGTCTGTTTGTTTGTTTTTTTTTTTGTTTGTTTGTTTGTTTGTTTTTTTAAATAAGAATTTGAGTTCTGCTCCATATTTTTCTCCCATTCTATCCAGGACCAACTATAGTGACTCTGTGAGCCACTGTATTTTAAGGTCTTTTTTAAATAGGTGCTTAGCCTGTCCTATAGCTAATAAAGAAATTGATAATAGATGCGAGAGGCTATAGGAACAAATAAATATATGGCATGTGCTAAGCAGTTAGATGATGGAAAATGAGAAAATAGATATATGTGGCTGGAAAGCTGACGACCCTTGGTATAATATAAGAAAGCACTTGACAAAGCTGTTGTCTACAATAATTTGGGACCCATGCCCTGTATCTAATAAACCAGTTCTATTGGAGAAGTGGCTAAAAAGTGTTTGTATGCTGGTTTATATTGGCTGCTCCTTTTAGCAAGGCATTAAAAGAAGTGAAGTCACGCATGAAATAACCAAGCTGCAAGCTGAGATGGAAGGGAATACATCTCTGGAAATGGCCTGTAATCTAAGCTGTGTGATAGTCCAGTAATTGGGATGTCCCAAATGTTTCTGTATCCCAGTTAGCAAGAGATAAGACTGTCAATTGGAGACATCCTAGCAGAAAGTATGATGTTGCCTTACCACCTAAGTTTATAGATTCAAATGACTTCAGGCTAGCTGCCATTAAATAAAGGGAGCAATAGGGATTTCCCAGAATAATTAGAGAGCAAAAGACTTAAGAAATATGTTCAGAAGAAATCAGTGAGTGGGATTAACTGGAACTAACTAAAAGGAAATGGTCTAGAAGCCTAGCGAGCTTTTGAGGGAATTATATTGCCAAAGAAACCATGAACCTGGCTGACAAAGTCTGGGATTATTTATTTTTTTATTGTTGTAATTAAATGAAGTTTACATTTCAAGTTAGTCTCCCATACAAAATTTTTATACATCCATTGTTATGAGACCCTAATTGCTTACCTTATTCTGCGACAGCAAACTCCTCTTTTCCGCCCGATTCCCCATGACCATTCAACCAGCTCCTAACTCTCTCTGCCTTCCCATCTCACCTCTGGACAGAAGCTGCCCCTTTGGTCTCTTATATCTACTTGACTAAGAGGCACACTCTTCACAAGTATCACTTTATGTCCCACAGTCCAGTCCAATCCCTGTCTGAAGAGTTGGCCCCGGAAATGTTTTAGTTCTGGGCTGAGAGAGAGTCCAGGGGCTATGCTTTCCAAGGCGCCTCCAGTCTCAGTCAGACCATTAAGTCTGGTCTTACTAGAATTTGAGTTCTGCACCCCATCCTTCTGCTGCTCCATCAGGGACTCTCTGTTGTGTTCCCTGTCAGGACGTTCATTTGTGGTAGCCGGGCGCCATCTAGTTCTTTTGGTCTCAGGCTGATGAAGTCTCTGGTTTATGTGGCCCATTCTGTCTCTTGGGCTAATACTTTCCTTGTGTCTTTGGTGTTCTTTGTTCTCCTTCACTCCAAGTGGTTGGGACCAATTAATGCATCTTAGATGGCCACTTGCATGCTTTTAAGACCCCAGACGCCACTCACCAAAGTAGGATGCAGAACATTTTCTTAATAAGCTTTGTTATGCCAGTTGACCTAGATGTCCCCTAAAAGCATGGTCCCCAGACCCGTTACCCCTGCTACTCTGTCTCTCAAAGTATTTGATTGTATTCAGGAAACTTCTTAGCTTTGGTTTAGTCCAGTTGTGCTGACTTCCCCGTAGTGTGTGCTGTTCTTCCCTTTGCCTAAGATGATTCTTATCTACTATCTAGTTAGTGAATAACCCTCACCCTCCCTCCCCACCCCCATAACCATCAAAGAATGTTTAAAGTCTGGGATTATTTGATCCTCAAGCTACAAACAAATACTAGCAAGAAGCAGTCTGAGAAAGTTCTACACTAGGTTGAATGTTGGATATTATTTGCTTACGTGTCCTTACTGCAAAACTTGCATTTTAGGAGTAGTAAAAAATGTGTCATTATTATAATATTTATGATATAAAAGATGTAGTTTCCCACATTCTATTATTGTCTAAAGTCGATCACAATTGTGGTGCATTGTATTAATGAGCACAAAATATGGTCTCCTCCCAATACTCCACTAAAAGAGTAATTCTTCAATTCACATTTATAAGCCAGCACCTTACTACCAAGTAAGTCTGTAAAATAACTCTCTCATGTTTTCCTTCTATTTTTTTTCTCTAAATAAGTTAGTGTGTGATCTAATCAGAAAGCCAAGTGGTTGTAAACTTTATTTTGCCAGATTTTATACACAACAGATACGTCCATCAGCTCTCTGAAAAAGAATGTACTTTCTGATTTTTTTCTCAAATATTCTGAATTTTAAGTTCACAAGGAATGGAATTTATATTAGGGAAAATTTGTCAAATACCTAACAAATGAAATAAAAAAGATTGATAGAAATACTATCAGACAGCATAACAGTTTATGGTAACAAAAGCCTGATTATATAAGAAGAGAATTGCCTGTGAAATCAGTAACTATAGGACATCTGAATTGCAGAAAACTGAGAAATCTTTCATTATATCAAGCACATAACGATTTTTCACAAAAGTTAACAAATAGCACCAAGAGTAGTAATATACAGAAACTTTTGCAGATGCTCATTAACTACCATTTGTTTGTTTAGGAAAAAAACATGAGTAATGCCTGACACCTGCATTTCAAAAAAAATTTCATTTCCTTTGAAAACGTTGGGGCTGGCTCTAAAATAAAGACTTCACGGATATGGTCAAAACACCAAACTTGATAGCGTTATCATTTTCCTTTGAACATAATTTAAATGGGTTGCTCTAGGTGTATTTGAAGATGTACACTCACAAGTAATGGCATGTTTGTGAGCTCGAAGTGAATAGATTCGAGGCCTTGATTTGAAAGAAGACTCTGGCTTGGAAACCCAAAAGGGAAAATCCTTTGTACTAGTCAAAAAAATTGAGGTTTAAATGCTTGTCAACTGATAAAAAAGGGGCTTTCCATAACAGCACCTTTGCTGTGTTACAGA